GGTACCAGTTATTTTCAATCAACTGAACTATTTCCAAAATTGCTTTACTATGCTAACTCTAATTTTCTTTTTGGGTATAATTATTGATTTCTAAATTTGAATAGAAATGGTAGGTGTGATGTCACACTAATTAAACTTCATATTTGTGTACTTTGATTTCCTGGCAAGGCAGTATGTCATTGTCGTTTTCAGTTTTCAGATAGAGAGAGATTTGGACCAAACATTATTAATTTTCCTACAATATAGAGCTTCATTTTCCAAAATTAATCAGCTCAAATGCAAATTCAAATATAGAATTTTTGAGAAATTTGAGGCGTGGATGAAGGGTCAATAATAGCCCACGTCGCCCCATTTGTTGATAAGACAAACTTGAGGAAAAAGCCTTGTCAAATCATTTATTGTTTCAACCAACCACATTTATGATCACCTTGCCGTATAACCAAAACCAACAAATCATCTTTCAAAAAAAAATAAAATAAAAATAATCTTCCAAGTTTCAACTGCAGTATAATTAAAAAAAATCTCAACGTGAACTTAATTCAACGGTAATTACTACCTATTTATAATAGGTCATAAATTTGAATCTCTCACCTCCACTTATTGTACTCAATATGCATAACCATCATACTCGTCATCTAGATAAGTTCGAGTAAAAATAACTTGACAAGTATACTTTTTTATTTGACAGTTTCAGTTGCACGGTTGGGAGATCCAACTATTCACGGTAATATGTACTTTATTCACGAAGTTAGGCTTTGATTTGTTTTAAAATACTGCTACTTTTTATATATATTTATTAAAGAAATAGGCAGTAAATAGTGAGATGTGGGGACATAAATAGATGGAATATTGAGAAGATTAGAAATGTGGCAGTGGCAGAGGTGGGAAAAAGGAATGTTAGAAATTGAAGGGGTCCTCATTCCTTAACTCAAATTCATATATATCGTATAGTATAAGCTTTTATTCAAAACCATTATTCCTCCGACATTATTATAATCTCCAAACTGAAATTACTGTCGGCGGTACATCATGTCTGATTCAGAACGGGCCTGAGCCCAAAACTAGGCCCACGGATTTGAAGGAAGGCCCAATGGGCCATTCTCCATCATCAATGCAGCGATCCCGAACTTATTAGGTGCTTGGCTTCGAAGGAGGCCCGATAGGCCGGTTCTTGTGTTGTTATCGTGTGGGCTTGGGCCATAAATGTTTGGATTTATGGGCCCGTCCACGGGTTATTGAGAAGTTTTACGGTGAGTGGACCTGCTTGATGGCGGGCTTCGTTGGCCCAATTGCTGTACTTGACTTAATTGAGCCCAATCCAACCTAGTACGGCCCAGCTAATTGACGAGCAYATTTATTTTCGATTTTCATATAATTAAGTTAGTGATACTCAACCAATCGAAATGAGAAAAAAAAAAATTTTAAATCAATTACGTGTTTTCCAAAAGTAAAGTCGTGAAGTTGTAGAACTTTATGAAAATCATATCTTTCTATAAAAGATCAAATCATTTTAAAAAGATGTATGAGACATTTTTAAAAGACTGAAATACAAAATCACTACATGGGCGCATGTTCTTCATTTCTCCATAATCATTATCAACTATCTTTATTATGAAAAAGCCTCATATATTATAAATCTCTCTAGCTATATGAATTCGAAAAGTCGAAAATCATGATCCTCAAACTCTTTAACAAATCATACTTTCTTTTATACAATTTAATAGGTACAAGTGTTACACAAATTTGTCAAAGCGAGTATAGTTAAGTGGTAATTGGTATATATCTCCAATCAAGATATTGTAAGTTCGATCTCTCACTTCATATGTTGTACTCATAAAAAAAAATGGCACAAATTTGATTCTTGTAATTTCCAATTATTGGGTTGATACTTGTTAATTTGTCAAAATGAAAAGAGAGGAGAAAGGAAGTTAAAGGGTATGGTGCGAAGATAAATATTTAATCATTTTACGTTGTTTGATTAGTTTAAAAGCTAGTGTTTAGTTGCCAAAACGAGTATAGCTCAGTGGTAATTGCATCCCATGGTATCAGAACCCTCCATCTCATCACATTTTCCATACAGTGACCAATCTTATGGCATAATTCACCCTTAATAGGTCGTTAGGAATTTCTTAATGTCAATATGAGATATTTCTTTTCCTTCAATTTAACTTTGGAGATGGGGTGGAGATGGAGAATGTATTCCTCGTCACCTCTAATAAGTTATAAAAATTGTAAATTGAGCGGGGACATATAATTAAGAATCTCTTAAAACCATGGTCGGAGAGTGCATTCCCGACCCCGTCTCGTTTCGTCTAGTTACCATCCTTGGGTAGGCACATTATAGAGATGGTGGGGGAGAGTGAGAAAATGAATTAATACCAAAAGTGGGAGAGTCCAAGGAAGAATTGAAGGGAGAGAAAGAGAGTCCAACCTCCTATACACGTTCGTTCAAGTATGCTTAAGTGTAAAATTTCAATGCAATCCGATATATTAGTGTTGGTATGATCGTACTCGTGATAAGTCGAATGGTAAAGATCAAGAGAAAAGGGATAGAGAGGAAAGTGTAACATATTTTGTTGCGGATGATGGGTGGAAATCCAGCTCATCTTTCTGAGAAGCCCACGTGTAAGAGCTGCCAGTTCACAGACATATATGTTCTCTACGCTACACTTCAAAAAAAACATAACCCCCTCAAATTTTTATGCACATTAATTAATTTAATTCTCAAAGTATAATATATAATATATAACATATGATATATATATAATATATGTTATGTATAGCTAGCTGTCTCCTCGTCCCTAACGCTGGCCACACCTTCAGATAATGACTTCTCTCTCTCTCTGCCAAACCAAAAAGAAAAAGCTCATTCACTCACTCATTAACCTAAGCTGTATACTATATAGTATAATTTATATATATATATATATATATATATATATATATTTATATATATATAGCCCTTTTACTTTACAAACATGCATAACATAAACCATATTTTATACGATGCTTCTGACCACGACTTTGGTTGGTCAATTCACTTTTAAGTTCCGTCGTGGCTCCATCTATATATTGACCTTTTAATACTCTTTCATTAATTTAATTCTTATTTCATTATTAATTTAAATACTTAGTTTGTTAAAGATTTTTGTTCAGTTTACTTTCTTACTTACTTTTTAGAATAATGCATGTTTGTTTTTAAGAACAAGTATTTTTGCAATGTTGTAATGTTTTACCTTTTTTCGCTGCAAGATTCCAACATCCATAAATAGTATATGATAAAATAATTTTTATGTTTTGGAACAAATTGAAAATTCAAATAAGAAAAAAGAAAATTATTTTTGGTTGTTTCCATAATTTCTATACAATTTTAATAAATATTCTAAAAAAAGAAAATAAACAAGAAACATAGTTAGTAGCAAAATATTTAGGTTTATTAAGAAATTTAGAAACAAGAAATAAGAACGTTCTATCTTTAACTGAAGAAAAGATAAGGATATTTGTTTAAGAACGAGAATCTTTCATAGTCGTTGTGATAGTTTTACGTTTTTCCGCGGGGACTAAACCCTAACATGACATCATTATTAGTTGTTAAAGCAAATTTGATTTTGGAAAAAAAAAAGGGATTCAAAATTAATCATCCCCAAATGTCCAAACTATTTGCTGGTCAAGTACAAAACAGAAGCAGATGAGGTGGCCAATCCCAAGAGGGTTAATTTTGTCATATGATATATCTTTAGCTATAAATATTTATCTAATTAATTAATTACCAGCTGCACAGCAACCAAAGAAATGTGTATATGTGATGTGTACATATTAATTATTGAGAGAGTACATATATTTATTAACAGAACTAATCAGCTGTCCACCAGATCATCAACTGTCATTAAAGGAAAAAAGAAAAAAGAAAAAATAATAATAACAAAAACAATTATAACATATTTTGTATACACGAAGCAATCCAAAGCAATGGAAAAAAAAATACCTCCCAACGAGCAACCAACATTAAATTTTTGACAAGTAGAAAAGAGAATGTAAAGAGAAATTAAACGTTTTATTTTTTCCGCAAAAATAAATGTAAAACGATATTAAGCTACCAAGTCATCCACCACTAAAAACTTGGACAACTGTTTATTTCTTAAAAAATAGAAAAAAGTATTTCATTTCTCTGTATTCTTCAAAACACTAACAATGATGCCAAAACGAGCTGTAATTGAGATATATCTTCAATCAAGAGATTGTGAGTTCAATCCTCCAATCCACATATTGTACTAAAAAAAACAAACACTAACAATGGTTGAGCGAGAAATTCCTACTAATCAATTAGGGCTCATTTGGTAACGTTCATATTTTTTATTTCCGTTTCTTAATTTTCAATAAAGAAAATGGAACTGTATATATGATCCCAACATTCATGAATTCAAGTATGATTAAACAATATTTTTATTTATGTTTAAGAACAAATGAGAAAGGAGAACAAGCAAGAACAAACTCGTTTTTGTTGTTTCCAAAATTTCTATATAATAAAAAACATAATTAGTTGCAAAATGCTTAGATTTCTTAAGAAAATTAGAAACTAAAAACAAAGAAATAAAAACGTTACCAAACGAGCAATTAGTTGCTAAGTATTGTTCTCTCATATCTTGGTTTTGTAGGGATCAAACTTCATATGCCATAAGTAGTCCAATAGCAAAGCAACACGTGTCTGTGTATTGGAACAATACTTTGATGTTGACAGTTGATGAACACTCATTTTCACGGTAATCAACTAATTATTTTTCTTTACCATCGAACTTCATCTTGAGCTATAATTATAATTTTCCTATAACCCGAACATCGTAGAAAATATCCGAGTGTGAATAATACCAAGTCAATAGGGAAGTATTGTTCATAAGATATAAATCACTGTATGGATTGGAGGGTTGGAGTTGGAGAGCTGCATTTTAATGCCAAGACAGAGAGGACAGCTTCCTCCCAAGTGCTCCTCTCACCCACCTGTCATTTGCTATTACATAACCCACCAACCCACTTCTTCCACCTCCCCAGCCAGCAAATTAGAGTTTGCACCTGTCGGATTTTCTCTCTCCTCTTTTTTCTTTTTCTCCTAAAAAACTATCTATCAAATTATAACAACCACCACCAACGGCTTAAACCGTGTGGCAGTGGCACCAGCTCCTCTTTTTTTCTTTTTTCTTTTTTCTCTTCTGCCACTCCCTCTTCATTATGATTGTGGACTCGAAAAATGGAGGTGCCCAGAAGAATTATTCGGAGCTAATGAAGTGGAAGGCGCAAAATATTTTAGTGTAGTGCGGTTCCGATTCATGCAGAGGAAGAAAACGTGTGTTGTAGTCACGATTTTGTTTTTGCGGCCATGGCATACGCACATTACCGATCGCAGTTCGGAGACACGACTTTCACCAAAGTTTTTGTTGGCGGGCTGGCTTGGGAGACGCCCACTGAGGAAATGCGGAGGTATTTTGAGCAGTTTGGGGAGATTCTTGAAGCTGTGATTATTACTGATAAGAACACTGCAAAGTCTAAGGGATATGGATTTGTGAGACCTCTCTCTTCTTGCTTTTCTCTCTCGATGCGTTATGGTAAATTTTATCTTTTGTTCGTATTCTTAATGGTTTGAAATGTTTAGGTGACTTTTCGGGATCCTGAATCTGCCAGAAGGGCGTGTGCTAATCCGAACCCAGTCATTGATGGCAGACGTGCAAACTGTAACATCGCTGCATTGGGACGGCCTCGACCTTCGCCCCCTCGAGGTGTGTGACATAAGTTTCTCTTCTATTTTACCATTATTTAACGGCTAAGAAAATCACTGATAACTTAATCAGTCGAATTAGGTTCCGTTTGACAAAAATTTATTTTGGATATCTTTTGTGCACAGGACGAGCGCAGGGTGGAATTAATCCCTATCAAGGAAGCACAATGCAGGCAACGCCATCGTATAGCGGAGTGCCTGCACCATTAAACCAACCGCCACTACCGCCAGCGCCTCCGCCGCCTCCCCCGGTCGTGTATTCGCCGTACGGGTGAGTGTCGAGTTCAACTGATCCTTTTAGAAAGGGATGAAAATGATAAAAATGTCAGGAGGACTGAGCTTACTCCTCCGAGGTATTTTTCTGAAAATAGCCAATGGGGAAAAAATGGGCCATGGTGTGTGGATTGGAAAGTTAGGGTAATACTCAATAGAGCTGTCGGAGTTTATATTATAATGATGGAGAATTAAGGACTTTAAACTCAAAGTAAATATGAAACAAAAAAAAAAACAGGATTATTAACCTAAGGTTATTTGGGTGTACGAATTTGGTATGATCAGAAAACACATGGACCCATGTGGGTCTCCGTGCATCTTAATAATTATACACGGATATAATCAATTATCTTATTTTTCTTACCCCTCTCTCTATTGGTCAAAACTATACGTTTCGACTCGAATATTTGAAAGAAAGTGAGATAGAATAAGCAGTCAGTAATTTAGAGGTCTCAAGTTCGATAATACCAAAAATTATTGATGTCTCGTGAGTCCGAACCTTGGTAAGAAGTCTGAATTTAGAAGAACGATGTATAAAGCGTCGGGGCATGGAGCGTGAAAGTCAAAAGTGAGAGTGGTCCAAGGGGTTACAATTAGGTTCTTGGTTTGTGCGCATTATCCTGTCTGTGGTGAAAACTACAATCACTGTGATTTCCCCTCAGTTTTTTAACATCAAATTTACCAGAGAGATCACTTAGCAGTTTTCCACTGTGTAGAGTTCTTTCCAGCGGCCACCCACCAATTAACAACAACAACAATTCACCAATGGGAATTCTTGACCACTGACCCAAAAGAGGCAAAAAAGAAAAAAGTCACAGTCAGCCCCATTTGCCAGATTTGAGCTTGTGTTTCATAAATAGAATAGAAATCCATGACTGGTGGCTAAGGCAATTAATTAATTTCCAAACCCCATTTCCTTGTTTTGCTCTTGCAGATACCCATCTTACAGTCCTGATTATGGCTACCACCCCCAAGTTAGCCTCTCTCTTTCTCTTACTCTCTCATATTATTACTATTTTTTTCTTTTTCTTCATTGCGGCATTTACTCAAACAGTTGGTGGGCATAACAGAAATAACTCTTGTGACATTGAATTGCCGCAGGCAGTGTACAACCCACAAGTTCAACAGCCACAATACTACCATCAATCCCCATATTTGTATGGTTACTCAGTACAATCTCCCAGAGCAACATTTTCCAATGCTCCTCCTCAGTCGCATCATCACCGTGTACCGCCTTCCTATCTCTACTATCCCGCAGCGGCTCCTTCTCCTCACGCTCAATTCGAACCCTCATCCTCCTTCTCCAACTATCCTCCCCCGCCCCTCTTGCGCCACCGGTTTTCCTCTACAGGTATCTATGTCTAATAGATCTCTAAACTTTATTATAAAAGTTGCACATGAGTACCTGACACAAGTAGATAAATAGATTATATTATAAGGTAGGTAAAAAGGAAAATGAAAAGTGGGGGCCATGTGGGTAAGCCCAAGGCCATGTGAATGAGCTGTCTGGGCCATGGAAGCAGGCCAATGAAAAAGGTTGAAAGGAAATTGATGACAGAGTAGCATTTCATTATATAGACAGCTACTGCACTCTCACCTGCATTTCCATGTGTGGTTGAGTTTCCAACCTATTCTATTACCCCTTAATTCTCCCTCGAAAAATATTTGGCTCTTTCTCCATTACCAGAAAAAATTGACAATTAATTAATTTTTATAAAAAAAAAAAATTTCTACTTTTTGCATTTATAGTTCCTAATTGTCAAATATTTAATAGTGGTAAAAATAGGATTACTCTTTACGGTTAAAGAGCAAGTCCAAATATTTTCCTTCCCCCTCCCACAACATTTATGTTTCTTTCGTCAGTACCCTATCTTTTGCATTGTTGAATTTTTTATAATAAATGAAAAAAAATGATATTTTGTTTCGCTCCTAGCCAAATTAAAGAGCTGTCAAATATTTTATCTGATTGATCAGCACTTATCTAGCCGTTGACCACCGCTATCAAATTTGATGTGGCAATTGTACGGTGAGATAAGAATTAAACTTTATTAATTGATTCAGTTGAATTATGTGTGGCTTTTTCCATTTTGGTAGAGTAGACCCAAATTTTGTAGCTAGCTGTGTCCAGCTGTCTTTAGAAATGGACCACTTCCATGTTCCAAACTTCCAACCATTTTCTTTTTTTTGGTCTCAAGTTCTCAACTTAATTTACTTACTTGTATTATAAGTTACGATCCATAAATTATTATTATATTTACATTTAAATTTGATAATGAATATTAATTATTAATTATGGGTTTTCCAGATTCACAGACATCGCAGCAAACTCCCACAGAAGCAGAAGCAGAAGCAGAAGCAGAAGCAGGAGCTGTTACTTCAGAAAGTCCAAGCACTTGAAACAGAATCAGAATCAGAATCTGAATCTGAAGAAGAAGAAGAAGACACATTCATAAAAACCAACCAAATTATTGGTTCCATTTTCCATGGAAGANAAAAAGAAGAAAAATGGGGGACGAGCTAGCAATTGTATAAAGTTGACAACTTGATCGATTTTACACTCTCTTGAGACCCCCAGATTTTTTTTTTTCCCTTTTTTTCTGCAGAGGCTGTGCTCAATTTTAGGAGAGAATCGATCCTGCAAGTTGACCTAATCAACCACTTTTTTTTTCTTCTTCTTTTTCACTTTTCAGGAGAAAAAAATAGTTCTGTTTTTCTTGCGTTTTTTTTTAAATCTAAGTATATCGTTAATTGAAAATATAATAATTAATTAATTAATCTATATGCTATGCTAATAGATGTATGTGACTGTTTTATTCCTCTGAGGAATGTTTATGGGTTGCAATTATGAAGTTAGGTTGTTGAATTTGCAATTTTTTTTTTTTGAATCAATTGTTGAATTTGACAATTGATGCACTAGAAACTGAACTTTTTTTTCATTGAATAGAATAGAACAGACAGAAACTGTGAACCTGTAACTTCGCCAGGGTAGACTACTGTTTTCAATTAATTTGTTGGGATTTGTATATCTTAAGCATAAAATTCAATAGTTAGACTTAATTCTAAAATGTTAAATTTATTAAGATTTCTGACATTTTAATAAATAGCCATCTTTGACCTACTATGGCCCAATATTCAATCCATCTTTTATTGACGTTGTTGAGGGTGAGAATAGAGTTGCAGACGTAGAGAGTCCGTAGGGTTCCACGTGGCAGTGGGGACCAACCCCACAGTAGATGAACGACTAACGAAGGGGTGGCGTTCGAGTGGGAGGGCGTACAATTGTTCTCCATTTCCTCCTTCTTCGAAGTTACTAACTTAAGCATTGGTGGATATTTGACAACGCACCTCGCCATTGTCGAGATTTGTTATTACCAGTGAACTCATCTGACGGCCATGCCATAAAAAACGTTAGCAAGTCGGATTTCAGCATCAACTGAAAAAAAGTTCAATTCAATTATCCTTCGTTGCTTTTATAATAATATCAAGAAAAATTGGGTGGCATAAATATATTGGGATGAAATATATTTTGACCTACAAGAAAATATATTATCAACTTAGTTAACATTCACAAGCTAATATTCCAATCAATTACTAAAATATTAATTATATAAAGTATGTATCAATTTACATGTACAATTTAATTTAATGAGATTAGATTAGTAAAATTTTCTTTTAGTATAACAAATGAGGATGGGAAGATCTTTTGATCAGATGTCGATTATCGCTTGAATTAAGCTTATGTTAACGAAAAAGCAAAGTTAAAACAAGTAAAGCATGATATTTTAAAAATAAATAAAAACTTAAGAATAAAAAATGATTTCTTGTGAATTAACAGTAATACACATGAAAGAAGAGGATGTCTTTTTTTTCTTTCTTTCTTTTTATTATTATTATTATCCACTGGTTAATTACGGCGAAATTTGTTGATTAATTAATTGTTTTGAAACGGGGACACGAAAAACATATTCAATGTAGAAATTTCGAAGTGACTTATTTAACCTTCAAAATACAAGAGATGGACCATGCATGTGGCGGGGTAATGGGCCTAGTGGCATGGGCGGCCCATGCTGGGATGTTCCAACAAGGCCCAATTCCATAATATCTTTAATTTTAAAATCCTACAGAAATATTTCACCCTTAATCGTTAACCCATAAAATTATAGCATAATGTCAGAGAGCGGTATTACAAAGTAATTTAGACGTTAACATAAAAAAGCATATGTTACAAAAATATTAAATAAAATATCCCAAGCGACACAATTAGTCAAAACATTTACCAAATATTGATAATGCAAGAGAGAGAGAGGGAAAATTAATTATTAAAAATATGACTAACACACCATAAAAAAAAATGACCGACACTACTAACTTGAATGACTTTAATTAAACGAGAGGATAATCAAATTAAATGCCTGTGGTCAGGCTCGGATTTAAATCCATTTTATTTTATTTTATTTTATTTTTGCAAGTTGCAAATTAATATCTGAAAGACCAAAACAACCCTGCCAACATTATTTTGCTCTCAATTACAAGGAAAATGGGATGAATATGAACTTTTAAAAAATGAATCTAAGGGGATGAACGGAGAAGCACTTGATTAATCACTTTCTCCAAATTGAGGAAAGAGGAGCCGGTGCCACGCGCCGCCGCCTCCTCCGCCAGTTTCTTCCATTCTCCGGCCTTGTTCCTCATCTCCTTCCCTTTCTCTCCCTCCATCAACTCCTTCACTTGCTTCACAATCTCCTCTCTCTTCACATCACTATCAATCTCCATTCCGATTCCCCATTCGTTGCAGCAGTACCGACAATTCGTCTGCTGCTCGGCAAAGAACGGCCAGCAGATCATCGGCACCCCGCTGATTATGCTTTCGAGCGTCGAGTTCCAACCGTTGTGCGTTAGAAACCCCCCGATCGCCGGGTGTTTGAGAACCTCTTCTTGAGGGCACCAGTTTGCTAGCATTCCTCTTTCTCTAGTCTCTTCAACGAACTCCGACGGTAGAACCGCCGTGTCCCCCGCCACCAGATCGGGCCTAATGATCCAGAGAAACATCTGCCCACTGTTCAAGAGTCCCCACGCGAACTCCTTTAGTTGATCTTTCGTCATTACTGTTATACTTCCTGTCAAGAATACGAATAAATTTTTATATTAAGTAGCTTAATATTTTTCAAACCTACTAAATTAATCAAACATAAAACCTACATTTACTTTTGATTGGTTAGACGATGTATAAATATATAAATAAAGGGTTAATTATATTATAGCTTATCAATTTAAGCTTTTGAGCTCCTTACCAAAGTTGACGTAAACGACCGAGTTGGGAGGCTTGTGGTCGAGCCACTGGAGGCAACTTGTTTCCTCCTTCCACAAGTTGGATCCGAGCGACTTCAAGTCGCGATCGGGGACTTGTTCGAGGAGTAGCTGGAGGGGACCGATCGAAAAAACTGGAGGCAGAATAGAGGAAAGAGCAGAGAGGGCTTGTTGTTCCAAAGGAGCCATGGTGTTCAAAACAATGGCAGAAGCTCTTTGGGCTCTCTTTGTTTCTGATAACAAGAAATCAATCATTCCATCTTCTGGATCTGTGGTTCTGATGAAGGTCGGAAGATCCTTAAGACGAATGTCTTTCATTCCTGGAATCCAATCCATCACTGTGTCTAGATATCCATTCGTTAAGTAGCTTTCGTCTGCACAAAAAGAAAAATATCTCCAACATTCAAATCACTTGTCTCCCAAATTTTAAAATACTGCAAAAAAAAACAAAAATGAAACTAGGTCTCCGCACTAATTACTGTTCAAATATTTATGCTGAGATACTCGTAAATAAATTAAATTTATCAAATCAAAGAACGGTAGTTTATTCATTCTTAACATAATATCAGAACGAGAGAAAGGTTATGTATTTGAACCCTATTATGATTTAATTTAAATCTTTTGGTTGGAATGTGATTTAATTTAAACTTTTAGGTTTGAAAGGTTATTTATGATAATAACCGTTGGGTGGAGAATCAAAGTTGCACATGCTTGCTAAAGAAAGAAATAAAAAAGCTGAGAATTTTGTGGTATGAACAAATTTTGTTTAACATACCTTTCAACGGAGTGTATCCCTTTTCGACAAGGTGGCGATAGTGAACGTAGCCCAGAAAGCCACAAGCGCTAGTGGTCCAAAAAAGCACTTCCGGCAGGGCCAGCTCCTCCGCCGCGTCCAGAGTGAAGCTCATGACCCCGTCGGAGACTATGCAGCTCACCGGCGGGGCGGCGGAGGGATCGGCGTTCAGCTTCGAGAGAAGCTCTCTGAAGGGCTGCAGGCAGAGGCGTCGCGTGGACTGGCAGAGGGAGGGGATGTCCTGGGTGGCGTCGACGTCGGTCGGGGGAAGCCCGTCCGGGATGGTCTCGAATCGGAACGACGAAAGGCCGTCGAGGGCGGCGGCGCCACGGGACTTGAGGAGGCGGCGGTGGTTGAACTCGGTGTTCACGAAGGTGACGTGGAAGCCGTGGGAGTGGAGGAGCTTGGCCAGCTTAAGCATGGGGTTTATGTGACCTTGGGCTGGGTATGGTATGCAAACTGCGTGGGGTTTCTCCGCCATAGAAATTGAACCCATTTTCTCCTCTTTCTTTTTTCTTCTTTTTCTTTCTGGTTACAGAATATTGGAGAGGATGAAGAAGAAGATCGAGGAGGAAGGATTTTTATAGGCGCCGCTCCAAAATAAAAAATACTTGGACTTCTAAGTAAATTACATTTTCTGGCTCTTAAATATTCGACAATTAAAAGAGATAATTCAAAAATAAACACTTTTATAAAAATGGATGAGTTCTCAATTTTTTACAATAATGACAGGGTGTCTTAAAAAATTAAATATCTTTTGAAAAAATTAAAGAGATGTTTTTTTTAAACGAATATAGAATTAAACCTTGTTTTCCCTCCTCTTGAAAATTTGATAACTTTATTTTTAAAGAAGATCTAATGATTTTTATGTTTTATCTCGTCAGATATTTAGTGGTATGAAATACAGGATCGTTGCTTTTATATATTTTTCCTTTCTTTTTTAATTGAGATTTGGGATATTTGGGCACGTTTGTTTTGGTCAATTTTCGCGGCCAAAAAGAGAACCAAAAAATTACTGAGATTTATGAAACGTCTTTGTATAAAAAGGACAATTGGGTTTGACCCCAAGTTTGACTTCTCATTCCTAAAAAAATCAAAATCACAGATTACGGAATCATGACGCACTATGTTCTTTTTATTTTTCTTTATAGTAGAGGTTTTTATTTGATAATTTTTTAAATAATTAAAAATAAATCTTAAAAAATGTTTATAACAATGGGCAAGGAGACAATCTTTTATTTTTCAATATTAATTACTAAGTTGAGAATAATCACCATGTACATGTTTCATATGGTGGGATAGATGATTTCCACGACACAATAAAACGAAAGGGAGTTACGAAAACAAAAATATTTACATTATAATAGTTGAAAACTTATCTCACTAACCATTTATTTTTTTAATGAGCATGAATACAAGATAAATTCTTCTAATGTAATTCCCTGAAAGAGAAATATGTCTTTATATATAATATTAGGTTTAAAAATTTAATAAATTATATTCCAACCTAAAAAAAAGGGGCAAAAAACTCAATTTCGAAGTTAATCAAAGCTTTTGTAAGCTTAAAAAAACAAAAAAATAATGATGTTTTTATTTTCTAGTGTGGGTATAAACGGAGGGAAAGAAAAAGGACCCGATACGCCCAAATATCGAGGCGGTTTCCACGTCATAGTTACGAAATTATAAAATAATGATTTTTTCTTTTTCTTTTTCTTTTTCTAATTGCCTCTCGGCCGTGGCAACTCCATTGATTAGACCGACTAAATGTAAAAGGGAATATTACTGTCACACGAAAACGACACAAATTTCAACCCGATGCTGCAAATAATTGATCTCCTTTCAAATATTTTGGATTAAATTATAAATTTTAGTCTCAAACATTTCTCTATATAGTGTATTTAATCTTATTCTCTTAAAAGAAATTAACAAAATTATCACGTTTTTAACTTCAAGATTATGTATATTAATCTTGTAATTTAACTGCTATAAAAAAATTTATGTAATTTCAACAATTTAACAATTTTTTATTCTTTTTTCAGGACAAATTATGTGATTTTGTAAAATTTCTTTTATGAGAATACATATTTATTTTACAAGATGTCTCTTATAAAAGTTTTTTTTTTTTATAATATTCTTAAAAGTATTCCAATTGGTTTTTAACTTGCAATTTGTGTTCGACGAACTGCTATCATTAGTGCAATCCATTTAACTCTTGAACCATTAACCCTTGAACTAATTTGAAATAAACCTACCATAATATAATTAGCAGGCAGCAGCATTTAACTGACATAGTTAACAATATTAGTAGGAACTTATTTAAAGGAAAAAAAAAGGTTTATAAATTTATTAAAAGTTCTTTTTTTAAAATAATATTAAAAACTTTTGGAAATTTTGAAGAAAACCTCCCCTAAACAGTGTTCCAATCAAATCCAAGTTTTTTACATAATTTTTTTTTTCAATTTGAGATGCCAACATGAAAACCAACATTTTCAATGGTTAAATTTTATAGAATTAAAGAAAATTCTATGTTAAATTGTAACCATTCAAATCTATTGTAACCTTGTAACCATATCTATAATTGGAGGATGGTTTATGCATTTTACAATATTTCAAAGTTTATTTGTAACAATTTTATTAATTTAAGGGCATGACTGATGGAATTGAACATTTGAGAGTATAATCATAATTATAACAATCTTATAATCGAGGGATAATTTTTAAATTAAGAAAATAATTTACAATATTTTTTTTTAATTAAAGAGTAGGACCACATTTTTTCCCTCTATTTCCCTTCAGTGCAACAAAAGAATTAATGTTTGACTATGCATAAGATTTGAATAGATAATTTTTAAGTTCAACGTGTGGCTACATTAAATTAGACTAATTTGCCGCCTATAGTAATAATGGTCGTAGATGTGCCCAACTTAGAATGAACACATCTAAATGGTGTAATAGTTTGTATAGATTTATTGACTTTTTCATGAAAAGTTGGGGGGATTTTTTTTCTAATATTATTTTAAAACAATTTCTCTTTAAATATACTATAAATTTTTAACTTTTTTAAAATAGCTTTTGTTTTCAAATGCCAGCCAGAAATGTAGACGATTTCACCTGTCCAAAATTTTTTGTGCAACAAAAGCCATTCAAGATCCAGCTTAGTCAAAATAGGTTGATTAGGAAGAGTTTGAGTGGCGGGGTAGATTTGGATGTCGCTTGACGAGGAAAGACCTGCACAAGAGAAACAAACACTCTGTAATTCAACTCGAGAGAGATCGAACTAGAGTGCGATACTTGAGGCCGAAGATAAGTTTTCTATTTATAGATTGGGTTATACGATAGAGGATCCAACCAGCAACTGGGCATGTATCGTGCCTAAGGTCGTACCTCATGTGAAATTCTGAGCTTCTGTTTAGGAATCTTTCCATCCAAAATTTGTTGAAGTACGGAAGGCGATCTTTAGGGAAAATTTTTAGGCGGTCTCTAAGAGTACCTTATGGGTCGAGTATTTCTCTCTTCGTCACGTGGGAAGACTATTTTTATCCCTATAGAAAAGATTATTTCAAATAAAAAATAAACAATAAAACATTAGGCAATGGCATAGTGGCTCCTATTCCTTGCATAAGAAAACAATAATTTTTCCCCTTAATTATTTATTTATTTTTCTGCTTAATTAATGTTCTCTACCTCTAAATTTAAATTTTCTTTTATGTGAACTATTTTTTAAAATTTAATACAATTTTAAGTTAATAAACTTTATCTTATCATAATAATTTGAAATTTTTATTTTAGATTATAGTGACTACAATTATTAAAATTATCAAAATAGACTAATAGTTTAAAGACTTAAATTAGTTTTAAATATGTAAATAAATTATATAATTCAGAAATTGGATTAACAATTTACATCAATGATCAATTGCGCTGTTAAAATTATCGATGGAAGAGTCTGCACAAAAATATTTAAAAAACAGTAGTAATTTATTTTTCATTATTTTATAATATTTATTTATATAGCTCGAGAATATGAAGCTACAGATAAAAAAATATTTAAAATGTCAATTAAAATACAATGTGTCTAATTATATAACAATTATTAAAAAAAAAAACTCAACATACTGAATTAAAAAACTCAATAATCTTTTATCGCTTCGTGTTATATATCTATATAGTATGGGAGAGAATAATATAAATCGTTTAAACAAATGATATTTTATTTTATTATTTTATTATTATAATTTAAAATTGATCTACTTAAAAATAATTCTCTTAAAATAAGAAAAAAATTATAAAAAAATCACACAGCCATATACCAATAAAGAAGTTTATACATTTGTGCAGGAAAGAAAAAAAGCATACATTATTTGGAGAAAGACAATCTCTGACGTGGCGTATGACCTTTTCGCCATGTCACTTAATGAAATAGTCTTTCAATATTTTCCGCATTAGTTTTAAAAAAACTATATTTATGTAATTTCTTATTTTAACAACAATTTTTTGAACGTTAGAAAAAACACATTTACCTTAAATACTTTTCTCAAATGTAATTTTAAAACACCAAAATAAAGTAAAAACTACAATAATAATAATAATAATGAAAACATTGGATAAATAGTTATTTCCTCTTTCCAACGCTATATTATTTTTCTATTAATAAACTGAATTTACGAACCATTTAAGATCATTTTCTATAATTGAGAGACGAAAATATTAATTTTGAAACTACAAACTAATTCAAATTTTTTGAATTAAGTTTTACTTTATCCTAATATTTACAAACTATTCAACACAGAACCACCCATATATAATATGTCTTTATGTATTGATTTATTTTCAATTATTTTTTGAAGTATGTGTCATTTTAATAATGGGTGGATGTCAGAAATAAATTACTTTTAATTAAATGGAGCAGGGTGAACTCAACCCAATTATTTCTCCCCATATATAGATATATGTAATATTAAAAAAAATAAAGCAATATATTTATTCTATAATAAATATCAGCTTGAAAATATCCCTTTGTCAAATTTGACCGTTATTAAAGGTTGATTTTTTTAAATATGAATGTTCCATGAACTTAGCTTAACGATAATTGACATATGTAACTATAAAGTTAGGAGTTTGGATTTCACAACCATACTTATAATATTTACGAAAAATATAAAAAATAATTTAAAAATAAACCTTCCACTTTAAAAAAAAAAATTGCCCAAAAAGTTAAACTCTGTTATTTATTAATATTATATCTATTTTAATAATATTTTTTATATTTCATTAATTTATTTTACAAGCCAACATGAATTTAGCAGGTGAGACCATGAGTTTTAATTTCTCCATCTAATTTATTGTACTGAAAAGGGCACAAAAAAGAGGGAAAAAAAATTGTATAATGAAAGGAAATATCAACGACTTGAAATTTAACGCCGCTAAAAAAATGGGAGGCATTGACCCACATAATTAATTAATTAAGACGGTTGGTCGCAGACCATGCTGCAAATGTATGGGCCAGTAAATGCTTCGCCCATACTTCACTTTAACTCTTAAATAATAAATATCTAGCCCCATTTTCAAAAAGAAATATTGACTTTTTCGTTTCAAACCTTTAATTTTTGCAAT